CCAGAGCGGTGAGCTGCGAGTCTGCGAATAGCGGCGAGCGATGGCAAGCGACGAACAATGAGCATCGACGAACAAGGATAATAAAAATTAAATAACTGATTAATAAAAATTTTTAAATTGATAAAAAATACGTATTATTTTTATATTTGTGCTTTATTATGTTATCATAAATAACTATTGCGTAAGTAAAAATTTATTACAATTTATTTTGAAGTAAACTTAATCTATAAATTAGCTCCATATTATACATATTCTAAATTTTTTATTATTTTATAGCTCCAAAAATGGATTTAAACTATAATAATTGTAAGCGTTTATTATTGTTAGCGCTATACTGTAAAAGATCAACATTCGATCACCGAAGAAAACTATTATTATAATTTATTACAACATTCTCATAATTTTGACTTGACATTTTTAGAAGAATGATTCACGTTTATATTTTTGTATTGTTTCTGAATAGAGAGAAAAAAAAGATAAAAAGCACTGTAAGATTTTTACCTCTCGACTCTAAATTTCAAATAAACGATGATAAAAATCAACGTTCGAGCGACGACTTTCTTTTTTTAAATGATCGGACGGTTAGTCCTCTCTTCGACCTTATTTATTATTAAGAAATAATACCGGCACCGGATAATGTTGTCAGGAACGACTGTTAAAGTTAGTAAAGAAGGATCGACACACTTTAAATTCAATACTTTAGTTTTAATAAAACTAGACTGATATAATAGTTTTCGTATAAAGATTTCAGCGATTTTTACCAAGTCCCGATTTTCGATTAAACTTCCGCTAGGCTCTCTATTTGTTCAGATTTACTTCGACTATTAAGCACGGTTCGACGATAGAGAGTGAGAACTCGATCTCCAGTTCTCCCGCAGGTCGACTTCTTCGAAGATTCTCGAACATTTGATCGGTTATTATTTAATACAATAAAATACAAGGAGCGGGAGCACGCCCGCGCAGGATCGATTCTATCGAGGCGCTGCTCTCGATCATCTGGCTGCCGTCCGCTGGCGCCGTCTATCGGTCATTATTGGTTGCATCTTTCAGCACATATACGAACCTCAAATTTTCAGCTGATCACAGCTGACCGGCTTGCTATGAATATGTTCGACATGGAAGAGTAGTGTATTTTAAGATTTTTTTCAATATCACGTTTTTTTTTATTGCTCGAAAGAGTAATAAAGTGACGAGTATTTAAAACGGTACAAACTTGCGGGAAATATTTAGTATACGAGAAGTGTACCGAGTAGTAAGTATGTACATTGTGATGAATTTATTTTGGAGACAGTAGATATAAATTGAACTGAATAAAATGCTTCTTGTTTCATTTTCGTAAAAATCAAGACTTTATGCGTTACGTACCATCTGACACCAAAAGTTTTAGTTCGCTAAACTTTTGTGATATAAAATCAGATTTCAAGTACCTCGAATACGTGAAAAGTTATACCCGAGACTTTGAGTGCGACTTTTACCATTGAAATAAAAGAAAAGAAAAAGAGATCAACGTGGTCGTCCCGTTCTCATGCGGAATTCGGTAACAACGATTCGAGATGAAACTGGTAATTATGATTGTTTAAAGGTGATATAAATAAGTATATTTATAAATATATAATAATTTTAGAATATAACCTTTGATGTAATCTCTGTGTAAGAGGAAATAAGATATTGTTTGGTAAACGACTGTTGTGTATCGACTTGACTTACTACTCTCGACATTTGTCTTGTTTGTAAAATTTATCAGAGGCTTTTTGTCTTCAGTATTGCCTGTCCAGCGATCCGACGAAACCATGTTTGGTCTTGAGCTTCAAAGGGATTACGCTGATGCTGGACTGTGGTTTGAACATGCAGTCTATTTTGCATTTTATGCCGTTACCCATGGTACCCAGTAGCAAGTTTTGTTCTTTGCCAAATTGGCTGCCACGTGACAATCAGCAGGATTGGCGAGTCGAAGGGGTTAGTTCTGCGTCAATTGCGTCATTTGAGAAAGCGTTTGACATTTCCGATATATTTTTTTGTATCCACCTTTGATTGTGTTCCGAAGAGTAATTTCAAATGTTTATTTTAAGGAGCTGAAAGAATGTTGCGGTAGAGTCTTGGTAGACTCTGTCCCTGAGTTTTCTCCTCCTCTGGAGAAAATTATTGATTTCTCAGAGATTGATGCCATTCTGATATCAAACTACACTTGCATGCTCGCACTGCCGTTTATAACAGAGGGCACAGGCTTTAAAGGTACGTTGTACAAAGATGTGTTGTGGTGTTTGCTTCACAGTTTAAAATAAAGCGTGCATTTTTTCTACTGCGTAACGGAATATATTGACGTGCTGCGACGTGATAAATTGCTGTTAAAAGTGTATAGAAAAGTGGAACGAAACGTTTGGAGAATGTCCATTTGAAATTTGTATACTTTATGCGCGGACAGTTGTGATTTACGCTCTTTGTTGTCGCCAAATTGAGAGATTTCACAGATCTTTGATAGTCTTTGAAGTACGATACTTTTAAAGGTATAATATACGCCACTGAGCCTACATTGCAAATCGGACGGTTCTTCATGGAGGAACTGGTGGAATTCATCGAGCAGACTCCGAAGACAACAATGGCCAAACATTGGAAGGAGATGTTGCATATGTTGCCACCTCCGTTGTCGGATGTCGTTAAGCCAAAATCTTGGAGGCACATTTACTCCATGTCAGCCATAAATTCAGCGTTATCGAACATCCAGATGGTTGGATACGACCAAAAGCTGGTGAGCTGTGTGAAAAATTGATTATTTTCATGTATGAATTATTGTACATTTTCAAGTAGTACAATTTTCAAGTGGTTCCTTGAAGAAAAAGTATATGAAACTGATGCTTTTTACATTATTTTTCACGAAACTAAAACACTTTTTTCAGTTTCATAGAGAATATACTGTTACCTTGTATTGAATTTCATTTCAACTACATTTAAACTTGCAGGACATATATGGTGCTTTGACAGTGACACCGATCAGCTCGGGCTACTGCTTAGGCAGTAGCAACTGGTTGATATCTTGTGACCACGAGAAGGTCGCTTATGTCAGCGGTTCGTCTACGTTAACCACTCATCCGCGACCCATGGAGCAAGCTACGCTGAAGCATGCCAACATGTTGATACTGACAGGCTTGACGCAAACGCCAACTGCCAATCCGGATACGATGCTCGGAGAGTTATGCATGACTGTCGGTAAGTTTGATATCCGGAAGGAAAGAGGTGATTCCTCGATACATCCGTATGCGGTATTATTTTTCTCGAAGATTACGTGGAAAATAAAAAGGATTGTCTTATTTTTCTGCGTTTTTTTGCAGAGGAAGTAATTTTGTTCACAGACTGCACCACTATTTACTCCGATTATGCTGAACGAAACACTTGAAATAATTTCTTACCTAAAATTTTGCAGCTGTGACACTTCGAGCTGGTGGATGTGTCTTGATACCTTGCTACCCGTCCGGTGTGGTGTACGATTTATTCGAATGCCTGAGCACTCATCTGGACAAATCGGGCTTCACGCAGGTGCCGCTATTCTTCATCTCGCCGGTGGCGGAGACATCCCTGGCGTATTCCAACATCCTCGCCGAATGGTACGCTCGATGGCAAGAAATTCTCGGAGATATCGCTCTCTGTCGCTTTTTTTGTTTTACTGTGTTTACTTGTTCACTGTTACCGCGTTTACTTTTAGGCTGTCGACGAATAAGCAAAACAAAGTTTATCTTCCAGAGGAACCGTTTCCACACGCTTTCCTCGTGAAGAACGCCCGATTGAAACATTACACGTCCACGTACGCTGAGGGATTCAGCAACGACTACCGACAACCGTGCGTAGTCTTCTGCGGCCATCCCAGTCTTCGATTCGGCGATGCTGTACATTTCGTGCAGTTGTGGGGCAACAATCCCCTGCACACCATCATTTTCACAGGTACGCGTGGTGTATTTTATTGCTCCCTCAGTTACACCGTTTTCGTAAATAATAGGCTGGTGATAAAATGCATCAAATCGCTGAAATTTTAACAACTTTTTTCATCTAAAACACGTTAAAATTTATTTATTTATTTTAAACGTGTTACCTCTTGGAAGATACGCGTGTGTTATGTATTTCATATATTCTACTTGTAACTATTTGTTACATAGGCTTTCCTCGTATTTGCAGAGCCTGATTTTCCATATTTGGACGCCCTCGCACCGTTTCAACCACTGGCTATGAAAGCGGTGCATTGTCCCATCGACACCTCCCTCAACTTCACGCAAGCCAACAAGCTGATACGGGATTTGAAGCCGGAGCATCTAGTTATTCCGGAGGTTTATACGCTGCCCCCTTTAACAGCGCCGCATAGAGCGGACCTCGTCATCGAGACTGTCGAAGTTGGTATCATTTTCCATTTTTCACTCAGCTGTTATACATTTGTAAAATAGTGAAATAACTTGTACGTATTTCAAGGAGAAACCCTTAATTACCTTCAAACGTGGGGAAGTGATAAAATTGCCGTTAAAGCGAAAGAAGGGCCGCGTATTTATCGAACCGGAACTAGCTAGCAACATTGTACCTATTGAAGTGCGGCCGGGTTTGAGTCTCGCTTCTGTTATCGGTGAACTGGAAGTAAAGGATAACGTGTACACTATAAAGGTAACAATTATTATTAATATATGATGGAGAAATTAGTAAAAAGAGATGTAAATTTCAAGGTAAAGATACATTTTTTTGCGGAATATTTCTCACAAGATATCACGAAGATTTATCCAAGATATGTTACACGGTTCCATTTTTTTTATGTTTAATTTTGCATCTAAATATACGAAAATTGTAGAGTATGGAGGACAGACCAAGTGGGAAAAGAAAAGCGTCATCGAGCTCTCCTGCACCTGTCAAGGAGGAAGTGATGAAGGAGCGGAAACACGAATATGGCATTTTGGATCCCCAAGAGTTGTTGCAAAAGCTCAATCAAGAAGGCATACATGGTGCTAAACTGCAGCACAGTCCGACATCCACGAGTATTCATTTGGTACGGCTTTTTTTCTAACAAAAAAAAAAAAATAACTAAATAAATATATACAAATAAAATATTATATATAAATTTTTCACCCGAAATATATATGTACTTGCAGCAAGATGAGGACACTCTGATTCAGATCGGAGACAATTCTACGCACATCTTCTGCAACGGCGATCAAAAGATCCGCAAACGACTTAGAACTATAATAATGCAGTGTCTGAAAAGGTTTTAATGCAAGATGATATGATACACACATACATTATTTTGACTGACACTGCCTGAGACAATGTTTTGTAAAATCACATTATATACATATATAATTTATTGTTTCGAAAAGTGTATATTTATTTCTCCACCCACTTTTACATCGCAATATCAATAATTTGTAAATTAATTATAATTTAAAAAAATCGCATCTTGATTCAAGAATAATGCCTTCAAGTATGATACTTTTTTGCAAAAATTTGTTTACATATATTTTTAAATAATTTCGTATAATAGTAATTTAATATAATCTTCACACATTATACACATCTAGCAAGATTAAATTTAAGATGGCATAAGTTCCTATTGATTCTAAATCATATTATTACGATACCTATGACTAGTGAAACAATGACTGAAATTGTTAAATATTTTCTATCATAGATGATATTCTAAGATCTCTGTATAAACGTGATGGAAATATAGCGTGATTAGAGCGAATTAAGCCTATAAATCGCCGAGAAAGTTGCTCTATCCTTTACAAGTAGTGTACAATATTATATTAACGTTTATATATTAGGGTGACTAATTTCTTGCTGCATTCCGAACGACCAAGAAATCTGTATACTGTTTTATATGCACACGTGTTTTATATATACTTTTCTTCATAGACAGTCTATGCAACTACTGATAAAATTATCGAGATTCTAAAACTTGTTAAAATTTCCTTTCGTAAGAAACATTCCGATAAATTTATCAAGTATAACGCGAAATTTAATAGACAGTACCATACTAGCCTAAATAAATTCAATCCTTTCTTTGTAAATCTCAGACGTTGAAAAAATTGAGGACTTTCATTTGTTTGATATACCGACTCTAGACTGATAGCGACGAATAAAATTTACTACACACTACTACTAGGTAGTTCTGTTAATTTAGAAGACTGTGTTACAAATAAAGTTTTGTGATTTGTTTCACAATCTATTTTTATTTAAACGTCTAAAATAATGTTAATCGCAACTAAGTGTCTGTACAATATGCGAGTAAGTTTTACTCATCGCTGTTATCAGTGACAGACTTGAAATAAAGCTACATATCTAGGGTTTAAGCGTAGCCCGCACCACCCACTTCTTCAGTTCGTTGATCTTGTTTTTCACTTCCTTCATGATGGTGCTATTGTACTCGTCGACGGCATCATCATCATGATCAACGACAACGACGACGGGGTGGCTATTCTTCGGAGTGATGTGAATATCGACCTTTTTCTTGATTGCATTCAGAGTGCAGCAGCTTATTACCTAGTTAGCAGTGGCAATACCGAGCGCGACGCCAGCCGCGAATGAGACGAGGAAGAAATGTACTTCCTTCGGCTGGAAGCTATCGTCACCGATAAACGCATGGTACCAACGCCGCGTACGAGTCTCCCCTTGCCTCAGCAATCGTTCAGCTTTGTCCAGCTTTTTGTCGACGAATCTCTCAACCTGAAACGCGATAATTCTCATCAATAATTACAGGATTATACGCGGGTATGGTAAGATCCTTGCACAAGGATTAATTTTGTTACATACGTTTATTGAGAACTGTACAAAATTGTGATATTAGTATAGCTTCCAGTGACTTAATTTATATATTAATTTCTATTTAACATATTAAAATTTCAATGCGATATTGATGCCATATATCATATAATAGGCGATAAAATAATATAGACAATGGAAACATACTAAGCACTTGTGCATATTTTCACACAAAGCGTCAAAGTTACTGTTTTCTTATTTCACCAAGCTAGACCAATAATGAAGCCACCAAGAAAACTTGTGGCAACAAGTGAGTTCCGGCTCCATAGTTTTCGTACCTGCAAACAGCAGAATCGTCATATTTGTAAAAAAAGAAAAGAACTAAACCTATGCAAAATGCTTCTTCATAAATTATTAGATTAGTATTATAACACAATAATTTCAAGTAATGTCTATTAGCATGGTTCTATCTTGGACATACTCTTTCCACTCAAGTTTTATTTTAATACAAGTTTTTGATGAAAAAATAGTAAAATCTTTTGCAACGACTGAGCATTAATGTTACCTTATCTGTGAAACTTGGTCCCTCTCCAGTAATTTTTTCTTCCACCTTATCTGTGATACTTTCAGCCTTTCTCGAGATTTTGTCCCAATTAATATTTATGTAACCTTGATGCGCAGCAATTTGCATTATGAGAATTCCACCACCGACTGCACAAGCTGCTACCTTCCCGATTTTTACAGTGACAATTCCAGTTACCCTAATTTCAAACCATCTATGGTTAGCATGAAAAATGAGTCCAATGAGTGTTGCATTGGATCATTGATATAACTTTATAAAATTTGTAATACCATCCCGAAGTACTGCCAATGATGATTTGCTTAGTTGCCGAAGACTTGCTCACATCACCCAAGATCTTCTCCAAGAAGGATTTCGCTTCGCTTGCATCTATATTGCAGACCTCTTGATTGGCTTCGTCTTTACCCTTTTTAGCTGTACGCATCTTGAAACTGAAAAGGATTTATGATTTGAAACTCATTAATAAAATTGTTCGATAAAGAAACTCATTCACAAAGAAGTCACAGCATTATTCCATGATTTTTTAAATGGATATAATGTTATATACAAAAACAGTTTACAATATAAATTCTACAATGCTAAAACTATTACGAGCTTTTGATCATTCGATAAATATAACAATTACTTCAACAATTATCTCATCATCTGACGAAAGGATTGAATATAGAAGTTAGAAGTTTTCATTCCCGCTATTATATATTCAACGCAAATTTCTACGACGTGACGAAAAATATAAATATATCGATGATGAATTTTAAAGAATGCTTGAGAGGCCTTCTTGCGAAAAAAAATTGGAGACAGAGTTCGCCATTTAATCATGCTCGACAAAGATCGACAAATTGCGGATAAAATTATGACGCATTATTTGGAAAGAAACAAAGAACGATTACCGTCGAAGAAGTTTCCTTGTTTCCGAATGAAGGACGCGTTTGATCGGCATGATTATTGAGCGCCTTTAGGCGTTTACACATGACCAATTACAATACGAGAATAGTTTATAGAAACGTACGATATTTTCTTAGCTCACCTTTTTGGTAAAAAATTTTCGAAATCAGTTGGATGCTGCCGTGCAGCTCACTTGATCGAACGTAAATGTGTAAATATACGACAATTTCGCAAGGGCAGACAATTCCGAACGGATCTCGAGATATGAAAGCATGTGTTTCAGTTGCACTTTTGGCACTAGCATCTCTCTTCCCATCCTTTTTTTAAAGAATTAGTCGACCAAAAAAGAAAGAAAATAATAATTTAAAAAATTAATTAACAAATTTATCGACGTCTCTTCAATGAAATTAAAATTAAGTAGACTGATTCAAATTAATCTTTTAATTTGATGTCTACTCTCCTTACGTCTGTAGTAATTTCTCATGTTGGTAGCAATGCTGTGGTAATTCACAACAACATTTAGGGTTTATTCATATAAATTTGCATAGCGCAAAACATACGCAAGTCTGTCTGGATGTACCCCAAGTCGTATGACTAGTTCCGATAAAATCGGTTATGAGCCGCCACCGTTGCTGCGCGCAAAATCGTGATCGTAGTATCACGATGATAAGTCAGCCAATTTTTCTTTTTCAATAGTAAAACAACTTAACGTTAAACCAACGAATATTTTGAAGTACTACGGCTTTGATGGAGCATCCCCTTTTCCCAATTCTTCATTAATATGTATACTTCATTGATGAATCAGGTGAGCTTTTTTTATTATGTATATAAAATATAAATTGAAGGTGTGCTGTTTTACGCGCACCCTTCGTCTGCAACAATGACAGCATTGCTATTCTAAGGTGTCGATTACGCTGGCGATTACACCCCTCCTTCGGATCGCCATATCCGACAAGAGGGGATGAGCCAACGATGATGGGGGATGCGGCTTGAACTTCGCGAAGAGTTTTCGTAGATCCCGCTCGTCGGCTCGTCGGGAAGCGTGCGCACAGTTTTTGAGTTTTCCTCGCGGCCCTTTTCGGACTCATGCCAGGACGCGGCGCGAAGGAACCGTTGCCGAAAACTGACAATTAAGGTAAGCCACTCGCTACCGTAGCTTATAAAATATAGCAACCCTGTTTTATTGAAATTGCAACACGAAGAAATCCTCGCGCAAAATTTGTTTTACAAATTGCTTTACAATTCCACACAATTCATGTTTGCTGAGATCACATCATCAAGAAATCCATTTGAAATCTATTTTATAAACAAATTAGGATAAAAAAATGATCGTGTAACAACATTCGGACTTTCTAATTGCAATTTTAATAAACGGTAGTGTTTATTTTTTCATCGACTTTTCGTATCGCGATTTGTGTGTATATTTCGTTTCCTCGCTCAAAGATGCGTCGAGTCGTGACAAAAATATAAACAATTCTTGCGAAAATACAAAGTGGCTGGCGAAAGGAAGCGATGATTATTGTTACGAATGAAAGATCGTCGTAAATTAATCTTTCATTTTTAAATTAATCGTCAATCACACATATATATATATATATATATATGTCTATTTTTCACTGTGTTGGAACGTTGTTTATGTTGTTTGATCTTCACATATCATTCTTTAAATACAAAATGATTAATACAAAATACAATACAAATTGGCTGATACCGGATGCGTACTTTTAATTAAGCCGAAAATAACATTTGCAATGAAAATATGATGAAAAATATCTTTGCCGTCGCTATTGCTTCTTTTTCGCTGCCAGACCTCGCACGTCGCAAGAACGCGACATCGCGTTTTAGTATTGACATTAAGAAATTGATAACATCGGAGCTGTGAAGAGGAAGTCTTGAAAGTGTTAGAGAAAAGAAAAAAAAATACGTGGGCGTCGCCGTGGAGGCGTTTTCGTCACGACCCGATACGCCGAAGAGAAAGGAAGAGATATGACACCTCGATCAGACGCCTCTCGCATCTCGCCGGTCGCAAAGCTGAAGATTCCCAAACCGGACCGCGGATCTTGTATTCGTGATTGTCGTGATAGTCTATCGATATCTTTCGGTCTCACGTCCCCTGGGACGACACAAGCGTTTCTTTCCGAGCAAAACGGCGTTCGTCTCGAAACGTCGCCGCGGTGCGAGCAATCGTCGCTTCTTCGCAGTCAGTTTTCATTCAAGGTGTCTGTGAACAATGCCGGATGACGCTAAGGCACTTTTGTTGCCTTAATGACGATCACAACGTGAGCGGTCAGTCGTGATCCGCGGATCATCGGGGAGATAATGATTACAGAACAGACCTGGAGCATGATGCTGGACAGCGATGTCACGAGCATCAACGAGTGAGTTTCCTCCAGCTTCTTATCTTTGCGTGCAGAGTGTGAAATTTGCTCGAAAAGTCGAAAGAGAAATATAAATAAAGATTAACAAATGTATAGCGTCTTATCTAAATGAATTTAAATATGTACATAACATCAGATTTTATACCGTAATTTTTACATCGATTCCTATTACATAATTACTTCATGGTTTCGATTCCTTTGAAAGAATGCAAAAGTCTGAATTCCAGACTTATTTATTTCTATGAAATAATTATGAAACAAAAGAAAAGCGTGAAACTTTTCTGCGTAAAATTGGATACATTTTTTTACGCAAATTTCACGCAATGTAATCGGTTCGATCAATCGCTCTTTACCGAAATGGGCGAATCGTTAATCGTCGAACAGGTCGACAATTTCACCGAGGAAACAGTTGTGGATCAAGGCGGTGAAGAAGTTGACTTCCGAGAGGCTAGGCCGGGAGGGACTGGCGGCGTGGGAGGACCGGAAGTCCAACACGGATCCTGAGGTCGCCGCCGAAGCCAGGGACGACGACCAATCGCCCGTCGAAGACGATGAGGCTGCGAAGACGGAACCGGAAGGCGCCGTCGGATCGGAGCAGGCTGTGACCGACGAGGAGGCTCAGACTCAACGCGGTACGAAATCCCGGTTCCAAATATGACTGAAAAAGAGTTCTTCTTTCAGTTCGATTTAAAATGTGAGAAGAAAGAGTGTTGCGAATATGCATGCGATTGTGTTATTTTAGATGTCTTCAAGAAGGGGATGCTGTACAAGGGAATATTTCTGCCTTCGCTGACCAACAGCTTTCACAGCAAGCAGCTGGAAACATCCTATCTTCTTTATTCCAACCGACAAAGGCAGAAGTCCTTGATAATGCTAAACATCGTGGACCTCGGCCTGAAAGTGAGTAACGCAAACGGGAGGGGGAATCCGCATCAATTTTATTCACATCAAAATCGTGGAGAAACTTGACATTTAATGATCCCGCTGAATCTTTAAATACAAAATTGTATAAACCAAACTGCGATTTTATACATTAAGATCTGTTACGGAATAAATTCATATCTTATCCTGAATTATTAAACAAGATAGAATTCTGTGAAACATAAAATGAAGAAATCCCGTAAAGTAAAGAAATGTAATTTCTGTTAAATTTCTCGATTGAAAAAAATGCTGCGCAGATTACATTAACAGCAATCTGGCTGTGGCAACGGGATTCGAGTAGCGGCGGTCTCATCGAGGGTCTGTCTTGGGCCGCGTGTTGCATGGCAGCGAATCTGGTGATCTGCGTACTCGGCTGGTGGCGTTGCTTTTCTAACAATTACCTGTACTGGGCCTCGATATTCACTTGGTTATTAATAAACTCTCAAGGTAAGGCCCACGCGGTTCTTTTCGACCTATCGATCCCTGCAATTATAACCCGATATAATTATAATCACTCGGAAGTGTTAGATCGGTGCAAAGTGTTTCGTCATCCCTCCGTCGTCTTGCTTTTCAACACACAGTTGTTAATATTTCAGTTTTCCACGAAGAAAAAACCCAGAGACGCTTTTTATTCCAGATGAATAAAGTGTGTCGACGATGATGATTTTAACTTTATGAGAGTTCCTTTGTTTCCAACTTTACTTGACAAACACGACGAAACTTTTACATCAATCTAATAGTGTCGGTCGAGGTCGCCGATACTTCGCTCTATTGATCCCATAGTTGAATCGAATGGCGTCTTGCTCTACTGGCCAGCTAAAATCGAGCGAGTGCTCGCCGAAGCGTGGAGCAAGGCAAAATCCGGAAATTTCATTGGATTCACATTCGGATGCACATTCTGACACGCAAAAAATAATGTCTCCTTATCAAAACGCTTTTTATTCACGAAAGCGCACCGCCAAAAGGTGCGTTTCGGCCAAACGTTAATTATAAACTTTGTGCTAATCTCCTAGATTCAGTGAGTAAACGCTTGCGAATGACAATCGCGATTGTTTCATCGCGCAGGTTTCATAGGTGCCGGTTTGAATTTCACCACGCAGCAGCGACTCATGTGGTACATACTTTTCGTCGTATACGCGCCGTATGCGATGCTGCCCTTGCCACTGCGATGGTGCGTCCTTGCCGGCTATGGAACGGCGCTAACACACATGGTGATGGCCGGTATAAGTCTCCTGCACTCCACACATGTGAGAGAAAATACTGTGTTTTATAGAATTTTTTTATCTGCCTCTCGTTCTCTCTGATATATATATATATATATATATATATATATATATATATATATATAGAGAGAGAGAGAGAGAGAGAGAGGAAAAAACACCCAGGCCAGTGTGTGTCTGCAAAATTATTATTCGAGTTATTAACAGCCAAAGTTCTATTTTTCCAAACCAAACCTGATATAAATAAAATTATTTTAATTAATTGAATAATCTTCTTTCAACATTTCAAAATTTAATTTCCAAATACTGAGCAATTGGTTATTTAATGACTACTAGTATTCATTTGAAATCTTTAACAAATGCCAATAGTTATGATATAAAAATTCTGAAAATAAACAGGTGGAATTATATCGCAGATATTTAATGCATTAAACGATGTTAAGTTCTTCTCGCAGCTGCGAGACTTCGCGTGCATTGTCCGCATGCTGACGACCAACGTGCTCTTGTACCTGGCCGTGAATCTGGCCGGTATGTACACCAAGTACCTGACAGATCGAGGGCAACGACAGGCCTTCCTGGAAACCCATCGCTCCACGGAGACACGGCAGCGCACGCAAAACGAGAACAATCGGCAGGAGAAGCTGCTGCTCTCAGGTAAAATTTCGGTCGCCCCTGCTCTATTTTTCTTCGCACCTCGAATAATTTGACAATAATCAATACTCCGAAAATCGGTATTTTTCAAATTTTTCAAATAAACTTGATTGAAATTTATTTCCAAAATATCTACGCAAGAATGTTTCAAACATGTTGAATAATATTTTTTATCGAATAGAATCGAAATAATTTAATAAATTGTGAAATTGTGGGAATTGTTTCGAGTTCAAAGATTAATTTACGAATTGACGATTGACTTCGGTGGAATCTTGAAACATAAAGTTGGAGCATCATCGAATCGGTTGTGAGAAATTCAAAGAGGCTTTTAGAAACTCCTCTTAGAAGCTTTCGAAGAGAAAGGGCGACGCGAGGTATCATCGCGCGGGGTCGTAACTACGTAACTAGGCTGGGTATTTATGTGCATATTTATCGTAACACGCGGCGGGTAACTCGTCCGTGTAACTTGCTCGGCCGAGTGTCAAAAAGGGTCACTAGACACTCTCTCGACCGATTGCGCCGCTGGGACGCGCGTTTTTCCGATAGCCTTTTGCGTTACGTCGCAAACTACTGCCACTGCCGATCTGCCATCCGATATATCGATCCGCGCCGCGCGTTCTTCTGTAGCGGCCTCTACGAAAATACCTCGTCGTCGAATAGATTACGCTGGATTACATAAATACCACACACCTGACCCACCGTTACTCGCTCGTGATACCGTGGAATTGTTTATTTTCCCGAGGTTCATGCCGAGCGATAATGTCGCGAGGCTTAGTTACACAAAACAATTGTAAGCCATTGAAACTGAAAAGCTTTTCGGTAACTCGGAAGTTTCGGAGAAGCGCAAACAACGGAGCCTCGTTTAATTTTAAACGTGGACACTTAGACATGTTTAATAGATTCAACAATCATCAATTTCTCGCAGAGACAACACGAGACAACACGTTTTTGAGAATAAATTATAAAAATATTTAACACTTACACGACAAACAGCGATTTCTCCTTCTTTCATCGAAACAAAATCCTATATTGATCAAAGTGTGATCACGAATAAGGAATGATTCGGTACGCCGTAAATCTCAGTTCACTCCAGCTTCTTCCAGCTTTTTGTATCACAAAATTTTTGTGTATACTCCTTATCTTAAATTATAATCTTAATCCATCCACAGTGCTACCCGATTTTGTCGCCAAGGAGATGATCCGTGATATCGCACGGGAGACAGCTCGCGGAGGAACGATATCGTTCACGCCGAATCAGTTCCATCGAATATACATCCATCGCTATGAGAATGTCAGCATCCTGTTCGCCGACATCAAAGGTTTCACAGGTATATGCTTCATTCCCATCTAAAATCAACATTTTGCTTTTTAGATCTTCTTGCAACTAATTTACTGCGTGTTCTACTCGCACGCAATTTTTACTTCCTCGCTTATATAATCTATTTCGTTAAAAAAAAAATCAGGTGACTTAACTCGATAATAATTCATGATGATTTCATCAAGCTCTGGCGAGTCAGTGCAGCGCCCAGGAGCTCGTAAAGGTGCTGAACGACCTCTTTGCGCGCTTCGACAGGCTTTCGGCGGAAAACCATTGTCTGCGTATAAAGCTCCTCGGTGACTGCTACTACTGCATTTCCGGCCTGCCGATCGCCAGGAGCGATCACGCTCACTGCTGCGTCGAAATGGGTCTGCATATGATAAAGGCCATACGGGATGTGAGATATACCACGAAGGTACCGCTGTCTCCCTAAGAATCTTACCTGAAATTAAAAAAAAAAGTAATAATGGATGTCTAACAAAATTAATGTATATTAATGTATGGGTTAATGTATGGATGAGTGGGTTTCAATGCTTAATTTTTGTGAGCATAAAAAATTATTTTACATCTTGGGAATGTTATTTTATTTTTCTTTCATTTTCGCCACACAGGTAGATCTGAACATGAGGATAGGAATTCACAGCGGATCGGTGCTATGCGGGGTTTTGGGGCTGCGGAAGTGGCAGTTTGACGTGTGGTCGTATGATGTCACGTTAGCGAATCATCTCGAGAGCGGAGGAATACCAGGGTACTAAAAGAAACTTTATTATAGCACACATCACGGTGTTAACATTAATTTCGTTGCCTAATGTTTGTTAATTAATAATTTATTTTTAATAGTAGATGGAGAAATTTATCGTTGCAGGAGAGTACACATTTCCGCCGACACAGTCAAGTGCCTGAACGACGCTTACGAAGTGGAACCCGGCTACGGCAGCGAGCGGGACAATTATTTGAAGGACAGAAACGTCGTGACATACCTTATCAAGCAAGTGGAGCCGCTCAAGTCCAAACGAAGATATTCGTCGCGACCGAAGCCCTGGCCGGAAGAAGACGCAGCTGCAAATAAGAACAAGAAGAGTTTCAAGATGAATCCTCATGCCACGAACAGCAACCCGCCTCCAAATTCCAGCCTGGAAGACGACATCGGGATTGACTGGACACCCGAGATTCCATTTGAGAACGTGAGCGTTAACACATTGTGAAGTTTATTAAGAGATTTAGCAGACGCCATCGTACCTGTTGAAGAAAAAGATGACAGTATTATTAATTTGATTTATTTCTCGACCGCAGTTGAATACAGCTACGTCAGTGAGTAATTTGGAGTCCGAGTATCTCGAAGAGGAAAACGGTCAGCCAGGCAAGCCGAGTAATAAGGCGGCTGCTACGACCGCCGTCGAAAAGAAGGGCGCCATCGAGACTGCCAGCAACAAACGCATGAGATCGGCAAACATAAACGCATGGACTTTGCGCTATAACGATGAAAGCCTGGAATCCAAGGTGAAATTAATCGCGCTAATATCTCATAACTTTTCTAAAAAATTATCTTAATTTAATAAAAAAATACATATATATATTTATTAAAATTTAAACGATGACATTTTCCTCCGAAAAAATACAAAAAAATTCCCCCAAATTTTCGGTATTGAGAAAAAGAAGCTTGAAAGTTACTTGGTCGAAAAAATGCTCCGATTATCAAATCGCGAGAGAGCATTACTTCGATGAAAATTACAGCAGTCAAGTGATCAAGTTTGATCTAATTATAAGTTTATGGTACAACTTTTGTGTCATCTCGTAAATTCCAAATTTATCAGAACGTCATCGTTTGTATCGAGACACCGAGTAGGTTGTCTAACAATTAGTTATCTCGTATTTTTTACGTTTCGCAGTTCGATCAACTGCGAGAGGACATGTTTAAATCCAACATGATATGCTGCTTCGTCATATGGCTCTTCATCGCCGTCTGCCAAGCCATCATTTTCTCAGAGTGAGTAATAACATGCAAATTGAAATTAAATAGGCACGTAGCTCTTTTATAAGAGAGAATTTTTGAAAGAAGAAAATTCCTTACTCTGTAGTAAATATGAAAATAATACTATTTCAATCATCGCAGTTGCATGATTCTTCTGATCTCCCTTCTGGTGACAACGGTAATCCTGGTGGCATCGTCGATCCTAGTGATGGCGGAGGAGTTCAAGGGTATGCCGACGTACCTGCAACACACGTCGTCCATGCTGGTGCACAACAAGAAGCACCGCACTGTCTTTATATGCAGCGTCATCAGCTTGATGGCGTTGACATCCATCATCGGCGTGTTAACGTGCCCCATCACGGTGCGCCCTTATCCGGAAGTGATGGTGCTCGAGCGTCAACAGCGAGAAACGACGACTGCGGCGGCTTCGCTCCCGGCGCCGGAGAAGCTGACCGCGACTACGTCGAGGTCAGAGCTGGATCACTTTGTCTTGACCTTCCTGGAAGCCGCTCTGAGCGACGAGTCCACCGAGGGGCAAAAAACTGTACCCTCGGCGGAAAATAATACCTTGGAAGGAGGCTCCAGTAATATCGAGCTGAAGCTGACGCGGGTGGTGAACGGCAAGGCGCCCGGGAGAAGCAGGAGAGAATTCTTCAGGTTTTACAGGTAAAAAGTTATCGCTTAAAAGCAAAAAAGGATATTATGAGAAGAAGATTGAAGATCAATCTTTTTATTATATAAAATTTGCAGGTACGAGCAGCACTACGGAAAACCGGAACTCGGCAGCAGACACTACAGACGAGTCGCGCGCAAACGCGACGCCGGAGCTTTTCAGAGAAAGATCCTCTCCGTCGCCGAGCAGGAGGCTGAGTCTCGAAGCCCTGTTCCATTGGCCCTGAGGACTCTCGACGACGACTTTGAGAAAACTTCCGTCTGCATCCGGCCGGAATACATGGTGTTCACGTGGATCCTGTGTCTGATTGCACTCGCTTCAGCTTTAAAGCTGTATTACCTGGTAAAAACGGCGCTGGCTGCGGCGATCGTTTTAGTCTACGCAGTGCTGATCCTCGTCGTGTGCAAAGACATGTTCACCGAGACGGAAAAGAACGCGTAAGTCGCTCGATCGATTTCATTCGGTGTTTGCTGGACGAATCTCGATTTTTCTTCCAGATCTGCGATATCCTTACCGGCGCAGATGTTGACTTTCCTGACAGTCTTCCTGGTGATGGTGACGTATCACGGCAGACTGGTGGAAGTTACGTCGCGCCTAGACTTCTTGTGGAAGCAGCAAGCTGAGAGGGAGCTCAACGACATGATCGAGTCGCGGCATAACAATATGCAGCTTCTAAAAAATATCTTGCCCGATCATGTGGCGCATCACTTTCTCACAGCGGATCGTGCGCCAGAAGTAAGACCTTCTTTTCTTATACAAATACCTGTATAAAAAGAATACAATATTGTTATTAATTTGTAATAATGCAGGAACTCTATTCGCAATCACGGGACAAAGTCGGCGTGATGTTCGCCAGTGTGCCGAACTTTACGGAATTCTATTCGGAAGATGTGAACAAGGGAATGGAGTGCATTCGTTTGCTTAACGAGATTATCGGTATGGCGATTCATTAATTTGAGTAAAATTTAATGCAATCAATGTAGAGTTTTTTTCACGAGTGGTTTATAATTATGATGTGTAGCTGATTTCGACGAACTGTTGGATGAGACACCGTTTCACTGCATCGAGAAGATAAAGACGGTCGGCGCTACTTACATGGCCGCGTCGGGCCTGAATCCCAGCCAAACCGTAATAATAATATTAAATATATAATTCACTGCGTAATAATAATAGTCAGCGATATCATCTCTAATCCTAGAATGCACAAGGAAAGGCTTTCAGATCGCGCAGTGATCATTGATTTTCTTCATTGATCTTTCAATCGATATTCTTTCTTTCAAAAATTATTTTCAGAGAGATCTTAAATTATCTTTCAACCAGTATATATATAAATTGTCTAAATTTAACCCTTAGTCCCGACGGTTCTTTTCGGCACCTTTAATCCCGACTCATGGGTCGCTTTGCGTCTTTGCGTTATTTGGATCAGTAAAAACGCTTTAAAAAATCTGAAAAAATTCCTGGAGCTTCTTTCAACCTTCAACTTGAAGTCCCAATTATAATATTTCGATAAAAATTATTTTTTATATAGTTTGTTATTAAGAAATGGAGGTACCTTACAGCACTTTGAAATTTCGCTTGGGTCGAAAACGACCCATGAGTCGGGACTAAGGGTTAATAAAATTCTAGGAAAGCGTGCATTTTAAGATTGAGTTTAGTTTCCAAAAGTCTGCTTCTCTTTGTACCAAAAAAACTCAAGTTTGTAAAGTGATGTGACACGATTAAATTTGGATGGCAGGATAAAAGCGACGATATGGAACATCTATGCAGACTAGTGGACTACGCGGTGGCCATGCGCCACCGTCTCGAAGACGTGAATGTCCACTCGTTCAACAATTTCGACTTGCGAGTGGGCATCAGTTGCGGGCCTCTTGTGGGCGGCGTAATCGGCGCCCGCAAGCCGGTCTTCGACATATGGGGTAACACCGTGAACGAGGCTTCCAGAATGGATTCTACTGGCGTGATGGGGAAAATACAAGTCCCGCATGACATCGCCAGGGTAATAATAACAGCTTTTAAGAAGGCACTTCTAATTCCCTTGTGCAGATTGATTTAATTGCCGCAATCCTTTAATGTTTTTAACAGTGCGACGTACGGTTTTATATTAGAAAAGCCAACAAGGCTATAAAAATTGAAAATATTACAGAGACTTGTTTTGTATTGGTGTGGAATGAATTTTTTAGCGCCGAAATTCGCGTTTTGGTTCTTATAGTCTTTCTTCACTTGCTTTTAATCTCTTCAATCTCAGTTCATACATCTCTCCTGTCTTTTCTGCCCCAAAATAACGATTAGTACCCTAATATATTGATTCAGTCATCGCATTAATTCACACACAGTTTCTGGAGTCGAGGGGTTACCAGACGCAGAAACGCGGGCTAATCGAGGTAAAGGGGAAGGGCACGATGGAGACGTATTTCGTGCTGGGCAAAAGCACCTTGCAGCAAGAGGGTACCCCCAGGCACAGGAGCACCTGCCGCAGCCTCGCCGCGGTCGTCTACGGGGTGGTCCAGGCGCGCCGCAAGCAAATTAGAAAACAAGCGATGCGAAGAACGTAGATCGAATATATACCTGGGAGTAGTTCTTCGTGTAGCTTGTCGGTGCCGCTAGCTTAAGTTGGTACAAAAGGTCCATCGTATCAGCTGAACAAAGTTGGGCGTGCACAATTTTACACTTTCTACTTCTGACAATCAAAATAATCATCCGGAAAGGAGGTGCAGTATACTTTCTGTGTCATCTGCGGTTTTTTTTTTCGATTTTCCTTTTAAAAACATTGTGTTTCTTTACAATTCTACCTGAAATAAAATGAATAGTGTTAGTGATAAAGTAATACAAAGATTGATAAAGAGAAATAGAAACGATAACTTCTTGTGCCAATTTAACAGACAAACGCAACGGTGCAGGTATTTGAATATTCAGGTTGTGAAAAAAGGGTATTTTGTTCAATCTTATTTCCGTGTCATTTTGTCACAAGATGTTGAATGTATATAGCACTTATAATAAATAATATGTCGATCTTATAAATGGTGAGTTTACGCCTTTTTTAATTTTAAAGTTGTTGTAGTCAACAAATTGTTGACTGCATTACAAAACGATTATATTCCGCTATTTAAAAAAAAAAAATAATAATGATTATACGAGAAATAAGCGGATGCCGATTGCTAATTTTATCAGGGAATAATATTACACTCGAAGGAATCGTTAACAATAATCGACGATGGATAACAGTGCACAACACCTCTGACTCCGTGTAACCTCGTATATTACATTATTACGGTAAACACAATATTTATAATCAATATTTATAATTGTAATAATAATCCATGATAATAATGGCAATAATGATAATTATAATAAGGCTAACTACAGAGTGGCCGCCACCGCCGCGCGATTCCGAGGGGCCACCGCTCTCACGAACGATCGATTCAACCGATCGACTCGACTGTACACGACTTTTACAACATACTCGAATAATTAATCTAATATTACATATATTAATCAGTAGATAATTCATTACAATTACGAACCTAGTCAGAAGAATGTCACGACATATAGGAAGGACCGTTCATCCCCCTTTCCCTCGAATCACACGCATTTTTCTCTTTTCTTTCTTTTCTTTTTGTTTATTTTACTTACTATTAATTGATCAGCAAAATTTCGCACCCTTCGAGGAAGAATTACAATCTAATTTTTTACAACGAGAAAATTCCACATGGATTTAGTGAATTCAATTCATAGCTAAAAATAGACAGAAAAATGCTATTAAAGAAATTATTATGTCTTTTCTGAACCTATTTGCGGCTCAGAATTCCCATTTCTTTTTGGAATAAATGTTTTTATTATAATAAAATAAATAGCATTTGGTAGTAAATAATTTCACTCTTTAATTTTTCACTTTTAAATTAAAAAAACTTTTCAATAGCCAATCACCAAACACTAAAATATATTACAATCAAAATTCAACCGAGAAAGAACTTATATTACAATCGCGATCCTTTTTAACGAATTAATAAAGATAACTTTCTCGTCTCGAGGGTGCTCGGAAAATTTCGTGCTCGTGATCATGCGAGTCGATTGCTTCTTTTTCTCCGAGGGACGAAGAGGGACTCGTCTCTTTTTAAGATACAAAGGCACTGTACATGTAATGAAGATACAATTAGAAGAGCGCTAAAAAGGCGATCCGGATGACGCGTCTCTCTCCACCCCCCCCTCCCCTTTAGTCTATCTCGCCTCTTTCTCTTTCTCTCGACAGTAAAACGTGCCCTGTTTAAAAATATCGCTTCGATTTACAATATCTGTTTGTTGTTTAAAATACGGCCACACTAAACGTGACGCTTAAAATAGGGGAGCGATTTCCTTCGTTTCTAGCTGCATTGGTCGAGACTAACTTCTTCTCCCGTTTTCTCGTCTAAATTAGTCTAGTTAGCTTTCGTTTAAAGAAAAATAGATAACTATAACCGGATTAGATGCGCGGTAACTATTTATTATTATTACAGGGGGTAGGAGGAGGGAGGCGAAAAATTGCAGTAGGGAAGATTGTGTGTGAAGGACGGGATGGGGCGCGAAAACGATTGGTCAATGCGATCAGAAGTCAAGAAAACGCTCCTGGCTTAAAGGTGGGACTTCTCACGTTTATCACAATTTGGCAGTGAACGTTTTCACGTTGTTGTTGTTGTTGTTGTTGTGTTGTTGTTGTTGTTGTTGTCGTTAAGAAATACAGCTTACAGCGACGTTCAACCACTTCTCTCAAAAGCTATACACATGTATATACCTAATCTATACGATTGCTAGCTATAATGGCTCGCTATGTATATATAAAATATATATATATATATATATATATATATATATATATATAAATATATATTTATATATTTACACACATATTTATAAGAAACGCTACGCTCTTTATACAGGTTTATCCGCATATACATGTATATATGCAGCTGGATTGATGAGAAAAATATTACCTCGCTATATTATTCCACGGACCAAAAATAAGTTTTCGTCTGGTCTGCTCGGGTTCTTTTACCACGGTTTTCTTTTTTTTTCATGTGTACAACTTAAATTAACAGTAGTAGTAGTAATTTATAGCGAAAATATGCTCTTATGCATTATCCTCTTTTTCTTCTTCTACTTCACTCGCACGATTTAATCCTCTATAGACAACATTATTCCCGAGAAAAATGCCTGATCTACTTCTTGTGTCGTAATTTCTCACTTGAAAGTTACATTATTATCGTTGTTACAGTCCATAGAGGATTAAAGATCGTCTTTGCTTAGTGTTTTATATGCGCGTTTATCGAGAAAACGTTCCAACTCGTTTTGCACGAGTCAGTTCATCTTCTTTCGAGTCTTATTAATTTTTATACAGAAAAGAAAATTAAGATCTTTACGTGATGATTTGTTGGAAATATCGAACAAACGCGCGCACGATTCGTGATCACGATACACAAACGATCGGTCTCGTTCCTTCAACTACAAAGCTCGCGAGCTTTCTACTTGTCAATTCGCCTAATATTTCGCCCCTTATCGTTTACATTAAATATATTTATTTATTTATAATATGTATGTATAACTTACGGATTAGCGTTAATTGTGTGAGAAATGTCGAGTCAGTTCGAAACTTGCGGCTGTCGGCGGAACAATAATAGACAATATATCGGATCACGTTTTCTTCCGCCGACATCGTGCAAAAGTTGAGATCATGCAGCACATGTTAGAGTGTGCAATTTAAAATGTGCGGGAAACAAAGTTGTTTTTGTAAGACCTCCTGTGACGAAGATGTTCCGTCGTAGATCTAGTCGTCGTCAACTCGTATTATTTCACTTAACATTTCGCTCGGAAGCTTGTCGTCGTCATTGCTGCGCACTAGCCACGTCACAGATGCCTTAACATTACATATAGCAACTGCACTCCGTGTGTCGCGGAGACACACTTACGACTCGTCTAGCGTACAATCGTGTGGAAAATAAGAGGAAAACGTGTGTCCGTTCTCCTTTCTTTTCTCTCTCGACTTTAATTCCTCGAAACTACTCACTCGATGGAGAACTAGCGCTTCTAGATATTCAAAAATACATCGCTTTTTTGCGGATGATTTGTTTTCTCGCGCGAAGAGCTAACTACTTTTTTTTCTTCCTGCCTGCCCCTTCTCGCGCGCGCAATTCACTCGAGACACAGGGGTTGAAGAGTTGGGAATTAAGAGCGAGTCCATTCGCAGCGAGCTATCTCCTCATTTTGCAATCACATTGATCATCATGGCTCGATTAAATTAAGCGTAAAATTATATGAATTGTTCTTTGCAAACTAGACGTGAATAAGATTATCCTGAGACAAGTTAACACGTTGTAGAATCTTTTTCCCTTTTTTTGAGAAACAAGTTTTTGGCAGGTTTTGCCAAAAACTATTATTTTCGGAAAGACTATTTTATTTCAAAGTGTAGAAGAAAAAAAATCTTGTTGTGAATCTTTTTTTGACGTTATAATGTAACGAGGATTGCGACAAGGGGACACAAAACTGGTTTGTCGCTGATTCTTTCTAGATATGCATTATTTAGACAGACAGATGCTCCTCTTAATTTTCAATTCCTCGGATCGCATTAATATACAAGGTGGCGGTACAGTAAGCGCTCTGGCACGTTGTATCGGCTGTGAACGCCGTGATCAATTGACGAGACTGTGAGTGAAGGTACGTTTGTTCTCTTAGAGTACGCTTAACTTGATAAACAGAAGCTCTCTCTCTCTCCCTCTTCCTCTCCTAGTATATCTCTCTTTTAATCTAAATCTCATCTCTCTTCCTCGATTTCACATCGCGTTCATCGCCTTGCGAGCGGCGCGCAACTTATGCGTGTAACTGTTCTTTTTTCTTTGCTCAAGATTTTTGCTAATACAGATTACAAGTTTTGTTCATGCATTAGAGAGTCTCTTATCTCTAAATGTGATTTCTGTAAGAAACAAAAGAAAGTTATTGCAGCAATGCAAAATTTGAGGAAAATTTTGAGGCAAGATTTCATCTTCAGACATAAACGTTATCGGATTCTGTTACGTTGGTTTCCGGTTTATTTCTATCCCTATTCCGATCTTTTCCGATAATCAATAGCTGATTAATCTGAAAATTAAATTATTTTTCAATTAAAATCTCTATCTATCTTGCGCTCAAGAAGCATTTAATATTTAATTGCATACGACAAGACTGGAAACGTTTCGAATGGGAGATAATATGTATGATTGGCAGTAGCGATCATCCTACAATCTAACGATACCCTCGCTAATTTTTTTTTTTTTTCCTTCTTCAATCTCGACGTCACAATTTGTATACAAAAATGTACAAATAGTTTGAGCAATTTTGCATCTGGCAGTAATTTGCCTTCACACGTATTTTCCTAGTAACGATTAATAAACAAAGAGCTATCGTGCATACTTTTACGATCTTTAATACGTACAATATAAAGGGCGAATCTCCCCTTTTGATATCCCCATAAGTGGCAGTGAATCATGTTAGTCTTCGCGTAGTCTTATATTCACGACTAATCACGAAGCAAATAGCATACCGCAAGGAGCAAAATTTAAAAATTAAATATTGAATTTGCTATAAAAGAACGCTGCTCGCGATGCAGCGTTTGTCATACATTTCCGAACGCTGTCGCGAATTGCAACGATTATTAATTACAATACTAACGAAAAAAACTTGGTCGAATTCTGTAAAAAAAAAAAAAAAGAAAAAGAACAAAGTGTCCAGCGCGCCAAAGCGGAAATGATCGCATGACGATGCCGCAGTCCGATTATTACGCCGATATTCTAACTGGCGCAATAGTACGTCAACAGTCTTCTCTAGCCAATACCCGAGAGCTATATAGAGAAAAAATCGCGGTCGCCGTCGTATATTTACAGAGGGGAATAAAACGGCGACCGAGCGGAGATTTTCTTTCTTTTTTTTTTTAATATATAAGCGAGCTAGATTTGTACAAACGGCGCTAACTAAGAAGTGAGCGAGCCGCAGGCTCGCGATCACCAAGGACTCCCTTCCCTTTAATCCGGCTTCTTTCCTCGGGACCGGCTCACAAGGCTCTATCGCAGTAATCACGTTCCTAATCTGAATTCGAACGATAGGATTGTTTAAAGCGTGTCGTAGAAATGCGCGCTAAAGGCTGTCGTACACAAATTGAGGTAAAAACATGACAATACACAGAACGAGGAGAAAACGTGACAAAACCGTTGTCCCAAGAAACATGGATTTTAGAAACAAGAAATATCTAAAAGCGCACATTTAGTGAGTACAATGGTTCTATGCAACATTCATGACGCTTCGCCTCATCCGGTGCACTGGCGGACGATTGCCTATAAGGAGCTCTCAAGGAGCCGGCCCCGGCTCTCTCTTTTCGAGTAGCTCTCAGGTACACGTATATATAATAACTCTTATCGTAACGAATGTCCTTTCATTTCCCATTGCCAGAAGAAACAACACAGAATTCGCACTTCCCGAACAGCAGTGGCAATTACTGCTGCTGCAACGTACCCAGGAAGTCCAAATATCTGTGCTGCATGTAACCTCAGGACGACTGGCTGGCCGGCGTCTGCAACGTCGACGATGAAGTGGAGGTGGTGGTAGTGGTGGTGGTGGTGCTGGTGGTGGTGGTGGTGATGGTGGTGGTGGTGGTGGCGGCGGTGCTGGTGGTCAGCGATGTGTGCAGGGTAAAACCGTCGTAGACGTCCATTAAATCGCGCATGCGGTACTCTTCCAGGCAGACGAATCCTTCCAACGAAGGAGACTGCTTACGCGCGCAATCCATACAATGCACCACGTGACGTTTTTCCTGCTCACGAATAAACAGGATGTTGAACACCTCAATCTGTAAGACAAACATTTAAAAAAATGTATCAAGTACAAAATAATTATTAAATGCTAATTGTCAAATTGTCGACGAAAAGAAGTAAAAGAAATTGGACATGTTGGGCAATCTTTGATATCATTTTTGAAAGTCACGCAAAGATAGAATACGCGTTGACTAATGCTGCTAAAAGTACAAGATAGAAAACGCACCTCACACTGGCCACAATAGTGTGAGGCTTCGTTTTTGCCGCGGCCGTGGAAGCGCACCTCCACGCCTTTGCTTTTCACGAATTCCAGTATCAAACAACACTGTCTCATCGTCCGTAGTAGGCAGTTCTTGATCAGCTCGAACAATCGTGGGTCGGACACTTTGATGTTACGCGCCAAGTTCCACGAGAGATGCACCATAGGCACGATCGACTTGAAAGACTGCAATTTGTTCCACTCGTAACGCTCGATCGCGAGCTGATACTGCCTGGCGGTGAGCGGGCCTACGTTCCATGCAATGTTGTTGCACCAGCCGACTGCTTGTACCCAGTGCACACAGCCAGCATTCACCCACACTAAATCGCCGGGTCGCTGATGGAACCTATAAACCGGTATATTCTCTTCGTACAGGTCGTCCAGATTCGGCCACCAACTGCCGTGCAGATAACTGATGCCGTTGCGCTCGCATAGCGAGCATATCACGCCCCAGTACGCGTCCGGTACTGCAAACCACTCGCAATCGCCCGGTCCGATATTGATGTTGATGGAACAAAAGTTGTTGTTCTCCTGGTGGCCAGGTGTTCTGCTGCCGGGAACCTACGAACAATTAATAATTATATATACATAAAATTACACTCGCAAAACACTCCTTCAATATACAGAGCAATCCATCTTGAATTACAATTTTTACATTACATCAAAACTTTTTATTTATTATAAAAACTGTAAAGAGCTAACTAACTAGATTGTTAATGTTCTTCTCAACAATGTTAAGTTAACTAATGCACTTTTTAGCACCAATGTCTAGCTGATCCTGACTCTCTTAAATTCTTTATTTTTTTTTATAATCTTTCTTAATCTTTCTTATATATTAAAATTATCAGAGAGTTCTTTTAAATCCTTTTTAATGCATCACCTTCATATACAACTGCACAGTGTTCATTCCTAAGATGACATGGCCTACGTGGCTGAGCATGTTACCGGCCGACACCACCCTGGCGAAGGCTGGCAGTTTCATCAATTCTTGTAATTGTGGCTTCCATTTTCTCTCGTCCGACAAGTCCACATTGGTGCCGAAGCGTAGCATCTTGGCACTCGGTCGGCCGGCCAGACCAAAAGTATTCTTCTTGCGCCTGACAGTCTGACCAGTGCTGTCCTTCGAGTCTGAGTCCGACAGATTTGACGCATGCGCACCACCCTGCGTTTTTTCATCCTTCAGGCTATCCTGGAAGCTCGAGGCCTGATACTGCGCGTACTTGGCGATCGTTGTGTGGCTGCGATGACTGATGCAGCCCCAGACCTTCTTATTCAGCGCCGAATCCCAATTCTCCTCGCTGGTCTGCTGCACTTGTGTGCGCACTTCAATGCCATGATCCGGATTCGCCTCGACAAGAGTCTTCGTGGAGAAAAGACCCAGGTCGAGTTTAAGAGCAGCTGCGAGACCGCGTATTACAGCGATTGGATGCTTCAGGCAGAACTCCTGTAACTGCGGACTAAAGGCGTCCTTTTTGTTCTCCAGATAGACACTTGGCGTAGGTGGCAACAGCTGTTCTTTCGTCAATCGTTGACCGGGCGGGTCGGGTGGCGCCGGCGGCGGCGAACGATCGCTCAGTATCGAACAATTCGGCACGCCGTTCAGTCCCTGACCCTTGCACGCCTCGATCAACTGTCTGGCGTCCATGTCAATGCTCAGCTCCTGCTCTGGCTGCGTTTCGCACAACGACTCGAGTTTCAGATTCACCGTCGGTTCTGTCTTGGAAATACTGACTGTTTCATTCTTGCTCACCGCCGTCGCCGTCGCCGTCGTCATACTGCAGGACGACGACAACGTCGTTGTCTCGCATTTCACCGATGTCGTCTCCGCCAATGCTGTCGTCACCGTTGTCGTCGCGGTCGTTGACGTCATCGACGTAATCGTTGTAGCCTCCGTCGTCGATTTCGATTGCGTCGGCTGGGAAGCCTCTTCCGGCTTTTCCAGCTTCACCGTTTCCTTCGCCTTGTCCGACCCGTTCTCTTTAAGATTCGACGGCGAGAACGGACCGGAACTCAACGTGCCGTTGTCATTGATGACGCTGCCGCTCGACGGTTCCTCTTTCACGACGGTGTCCAGATCATCGGAGCCGAAATGTTTGAGCAGATCTTCCGCTAGCGAAGTGGCTATATCTTTCTGCGACAGCAACGCTTGTAACTCTTGATCCGTCACTCCCAGATTATCCTTGCTCGTAGCAGCCGCCGCCGAGCTTTCCGGATAGCCACCAGTCGCCGACGAGACCTGCGTGTAACCCTGAGCAGCATACTGATTCGGCTGCTGTTGATACTGGCCGCTGTACTGAGCACCGCCAGCGATCTGTTGCCTCTGATGCGGATAAGTGGGATCGGAGGCGGATTTGTAAGGCATTCCTGGTGTCTGCGTAGTGTTGCCGGTCGCCGCCGTATTGTAACCGACATTGGTATCGGAGAAGCCTGTTTGCAACGCCACAGTGCCTCCTTGCTGCAACTGAACGCCGATTAAAATTATTTCGATCGTGCGTATTTGATTCCGATATAAAATATACATTAACGTAAAAATTGAAAAACTGAAAATTTCACCATTTTTGATAAAATCTCTTCCACGAGATTGAAGATATATCTAAACCAAGAAAGAAGCAAAGCGCGGATGTCGAGGCGCGAAAAGTCTCAACTATTTGAGATGTCAAATATTTACCGGTTGTTGCGGGATGCCATAATTCTTAATTACGCCTGACGACTGAGCCAGGTTCTGAGAATGGGCTCCGTAAGCGATCGGATAACCGGGCTGACCCATCCTCAAGCCCCGCTGCTGCGCTGCTTGCTGCTGCTGTTGCAGCCTGAGCTGCTGATGCTGCTGCATCGTACGGTACTGGTGTTGCAGCTGCGCGAGCATGGCCTGCTGTTGTGGCGTCAGACTGCTCTGATTCTGCTGCAGGGATTGCAGCATGAGCAACTGTTGCGACGTCAAGTAAAATGGTGACGCCCGTTGCTGCGGCGCGGCTGATATCGCATCATCACTCTGTTGAAAAGAAAATTGGATTTTATCAGTCAAGAGCTCGAGATATTTCAATCTGTTATACCGGCTAAATCTTTTTAATCTGTTTCTTAACAATTAAATTTCTTTACAAATCATTTCATAGGCTACTGTACTGAAATAATTCGTAGACAATATAAAATAAATCAAAATTGCAAGTATTCTTAAAGAGAGAATGTTTATCTCCTATTCTAACGCACTATCCCCCTACTTTAAATCGCTTGGGATTCGGTCCTTGAGCTTGAGGATAAGGCGGTGGCGGACCAGTAGGTGTGGTGCTGTATTTGTACGAAGGCCCACCGGGTTGCTGCTGTTGCTGTTGCTGCCGGCTGGACATTTCCGCGCTGATTGGCAAATTCCAAGCTTCTTCGATCGACGGCAATTGCCGCCTCCTAAGCAAAAGTAAAAGAATAAAAATTATAATAAAAGTAAGAAACAAATTATATTTATAAGATGTCGCTTTTATATTAAGAAATCCCTTCATTTCCAAGAAAATAATAAAATATTGTTCGCGAGATGACTGGAAACGGTCGAAGCAGGACAAAGATGATACACAGAAGATCAAACTTTCTTGCTTCTAACACAAAAGATTTTACAATCAACTTATCTCACTTAATTAATCGCAGTCGTTTCTATAGCAGCAGGTAATTTGTAAATGTTGGTACGAGAATCCGAAGCAAAAGAAGCGCGATCGTCATTCAAGACCACATCCGAGTTCTTTCACGAACGTTTCTAGACTAAATGTTCGTTAAATGATACGCAAAAATAGGACGATTTAAGTATATTATTGTTGTCACTGCTGTGTGATTGCCACAAACTGATTTTTGATTCGCTAAGCTCTCAACTTTCGCAACGCATGTATGTGTGTTTATTGACACCGCACCGAGTTTGAACGTGCTTTCGAACAACGTGTGTAATTGAAGTAATGTTCTCTACATTTAAGTTGCATATTTTATTCGTATTGTAAATGATCTCTTATACCTTCGA